TGAAATTTGGTTTTTGAAGAATACTTGATAAGCTTATATAATTCCCATGGTTTAAAGTCGCAGCATTTTATCATGTAACTTGTTTAATAAATTTCTATTCCCCACGAGAAAGCCCTATTATAGTATTATTTTTAATACGTGTGATAATAATACCACACACACTCACGCAATGTGATTTGCGATAAAAGAAATAAATTTAAAAAGGTTTCATTACAAAAGATGATAAAATAAGACACAGTTTTTAGCTAATATCAAACAATCTGGTGTGGAAACCATATGACTTTTTTGTCGACCTACACATTTTGTATTCCATTATATTTAAACTTTTTCCTCGAATTTCATTAGGCATTCATTATTCTGCATTCAATATCAATTCAGGTCTCACTTCGCGGCAAAGCAGAAGTACTTAAAAACTGAAAATATCTTAATTAACAATTATAAAATACAGAACCTGAAACAACAACTACTGTCCAAAAGAAGTTTTTTTTTTTTTTTTTTTTTTTTTTTTTTTTTTTTTTTTTTTTTAATTACAATTTAATTTAGAGTTTGTATGCCAAAACTAGGAATTTGACAAACGGGTAAGAAGATCAAATTTTCGGTGCACAAAAATGAAAGTAAACTTCAGAACAACTCGGGAAGACACTCATATTCGTTCACTAACTGACTTTATTCACTATTCTACTACGAGATTCAAATGTAAAGGGAAATGCGACCTAGTGCCACTTAAGCTTTTAAAATGTTGATAATTCTACAAGTATTTCATGCAGATTACCTGAAGGCATAAATTCCTTAACAGGAACATAAGAACAATATAATTCAATCACTTTTAAAGCAAGAAACGCCATTGACCAATATGTAAGCATAAAATAAAACATAAAAAACAAGTATCTGAAAGCTATTTCTAATCGCATAAAAAAGTATGAAATAAAATAATTATGACATCTTGACCGCAAGACTTAATAACTGCAGATGATCTCAGTATCTTTACATTTATGTTTGCAATTTTCGAGCGTTGTGGTCACGAAGTTGTAATTATTTTAGTTCAGACTTTTTAGTGCGAACAGAAAAAGTTTTTAAATTATTTTTAATCCAAAGGGGCAATATGCCCAGAAGGATTATTAATTTCATTTTGGCGATTTGCGTTGGTTCACGATAAATGTCCGTTCACTTTTCAAATTGTTGCCACCAAATGTTAGAGCTCTTCATTATATTTAAAGGAATTAAATAATCTGCATCAATATATCGGTACCCATGGGGCCATCAGCCCACATTTAGAATCTGGAATTTGTTTTATTATCTATTTCAGATTTTGTAAAATTTTAACGAATTTTTTTTTAAGAATCTCAAGGATTTCAAAGTGAACAATGGCAACACTGTACATGAAAAAAATTTATATTTAGCGCGCGAGACTATGTATCGGAAATTCTAAAGATATGCTAATTTTAAAATTATTTCGCGATATAGCTGTTGAACTGAATTTTATGTGCTGAATTTTATGGTTTAAGTGCTAAGAACATGGTATTTAATAAATAAAGGTGAAACAAAAAACGTTAAAAAAAGGCCCCTTTGGGCGTAATGTAAAAATATGAGAACTTTTAGATTTTATTTTTAAAGTTTATTTTCTATTCTATTTTAAAGATTTTTTTATGCTGATATTTATTAAACATCGTTTTCTCTATTTATTAATCACAATATGTTAATTAAACAACTGTAATTTCACTGAATTTTAATTAAATTTTGCGTAATCGATTAATTTTGTAAATTCTTAATGTTTTATTTATATTTAACATCTTTCAGAGCGACCGTTATACTTTACGAGTAGTGCGTGCCATCAATCAGTCGCTACACGAATCCTTTGCGTGCTATCGCACGCAAGCGGCTTCTGCAGAACATAGTTTTATGACAGAGATTTAAATCTTAATAGTTTTATGACAGATATTTAAATCTTAATAGTTTTATGACAGATATTTAAATCTTAATAGTTTTATGACAGATATTTAAATCTTAATAGTTTTATGACAGAGATTTAAATCTTAATAGTTTTTAATAAAAAACTAAGCTCGCGGAGCCATGTAACAAGGTGGGAATATATGAATATGTATATATGCATTTTTTGCGGTCGATTGCAACGAAAAAGGGAGGAGGAGCACAAGTAAATGTTAAACCATTCGTATTAAAAAATTTCAAAATTCTATGGCCATTCGTTTTCGAGTTATGGGAGATACGTATGTATATGTTACGGTGAAACACCGAAATTTGGAGAATGTCGACTTTCACCGGTGAATGTCATTCACAAAGTCACTTGGTGTATGTCCGAAATATTTTCCAGTTACTCTTATTTCTGACTTACACCGGTAAATGTCGACATTCACCATGTACTAATGGTGAATGCTGAGTATATAAAAATAGTATTATATTTTCTTCTCCGTAATTCAGTAGCGAAAAACGCACTTGAGACTTAAAATGAGAACTTAAGAACATAAGAACTTAAAACACACAGTACATTCAAAATGAGAAAGGAAAGTAGTGGAAGTGAAAAACTTTGTAAATTATGTGATTCAAATCGTATTTATTGCAACAACTTAAACTATTATGACACTTTGAACCGCACAAGTGGCCCTTGCTTTTATAACTGCATTTTTTTGTGAAACACTTCCTTTTGCAATGGCAGCGTGTACATATATTCCTCTCTTTTCGATCTACACCAGAGCATATCTATGATTCCGACATACACCGGTGAGGGTCCGAATGTAGAAGAATGTAATGCAATAGTCGATCTTTCACCGACGTATTTGGTGAATGTTGACGTTCTCCGGTGAAAGTCGACATTCTCCAATTTCGGTCTTTCACAGTAACATATATACGTCATGGTAACACCTGTTCTGAATCCATTCTAAATCCATTTTACAATCCGTATTGGCAATACTGTACTTCCTTTACTTCGTACAAGTAAGTAATAAATCTCAGCATGGACTTCTTTAGGGTGCACGAAATTATTATTAGTAGTAGACTCATTAATATAACCTTGACGAGGAGAATTAAGTATCTGCCTCAAGTAATAATAATATCTGCCTCAAGTAATCAATTATAAATTTTCAAATGCTGTTTGTAATTTCTTTATGACTGCGACGAATTTTTCAATAATAAATAGAATATTATGAAGTTAAACAATAAAAAATTAAAGTATACGATTTTTTAAATGCCACCACAATGCAAAAAATTTTAAAAAGCGGCAAACGATAATCCTAATTTTGATTTTATCCAAAAATATTTCAGTGAACGAAAACTTTTGTGAGATAAAATGTTTGTCATTTTTGTATTATTAATTTCTTAAAAATAAAGTTTCGCTATATTATTTTAAAAAATTGTCATGTAATTTTGTTACAAATAGATTATAGATCTTATTATTAAAATCTCTTTCAGAAAGTTTACTTTTAATTAATGGATAGTCCTTTTTCAATGAAAATCATAAGTGTAAGAACATCTTTGGGTATGAGAATAACAAATGCAAGCAATCATGGTCAAAGGCTAGTGATCTAAACACGACTTCAAAGCCTGGATTATTGCCAAACAAGGTTATGTTGAGTGTTTGGTGGGATTGGAAGGGAATTGTTAAAAAGAGTTAAAAAGAGGTTTAAAATATAGAAAATTAAATATTGTTCAGAAAGATATAATTTGTGAATATATGCGAAATTTTGAGAATAGTCCAAAATATTTAAGCGTTTTAGCAATTTTTTGGTAAATTAAATACTCGTGTGACGAGATTTATTGGATCTACTTCTCGCCTTTTTAAATGCATTCTGCTATTGACTGTCATCAACTCTAAATACTGAACATTTCTTTACAAATTTGGAAGATAGGAATATGCCTGGTCAGGCTTCCTATAATAATTTCTTATATGTAACTATAAGCGTTTATATGTTTAGCTAATCACAATGCATATTGTCCCTTTTTTCTGCACCGTAGATATTTTGCAACAAGTATGCCACTAGGAACATGGGTGAAAGTACTACAATAATTTGCCATAAGATATTTTATAGGTTATTCTTTCTGCTATCACAAACGTTGCTTCACTAAGAAGTTACTTTTCTCTATTACACGGGCATTAATAAATCTCTCTTTCATCATGTGCTTTAGAGTTTCAAAAACGTAATTGAAACCGCCGCCGCTGCGGTGTAGGACTGATCTTGTATTTTTACTACGTTATATTACCTACTGTTTGAAGTTTTATTGAGTAAGCAAACTCCAACTATTTTGTGAATTTGCCTCCAGAGCACTGTTATTAACATTTAATCTGCATAAACTGTTTACTCTGAAGCGGATAGTTTGAATTATGTGGTTTTATGATGCAACTATTTTTTAAAAATCATCAAATTTTATTAATTATTAAGATGTCAATTAAGAGGTGCGAAAGAAGCTGTTGGAGGAAAAATTCGGAGAATGGAGAAATTTTAGTAATTATAGTTCCCTTTGCTGCTAAAGAGCTGGTCAAGAAATCACTCAGGATAATCACAAAGAAAGTATAAAATAAAAGGAAGACGCGGGTAAATGTATTTCTGTAAATAAGAGCACCCAGATTTAATCAAAGCTCTGAAGGAAAAGGCCAAAGAAAGTCTATGTTCATATGCGAAAGTGAACACCAGTCGCCCTTTAAAAGGGGGGAATGCATGAGTTATTTCTCGCGCCTTCTTAGCGTGCCTTCGTGGTGTAGTGATATGCATGCTGGGTGCGTATTCCAGAAGTCCGTGGTTCAATTACCGTTGAAGGTGTTGCTCATTTTTCACATCTCCTGCTTCTCAAAAATATGCCTAATGCCTGCATAAGACAAGCCCACTTTTCCGATTCTGCGGTGGCTAAAATGCAGGAGAGGTAGCAAAAGTTAACCTTTCTCAACAATTATTGAATTTAATGAATCATGAATAAATACTGTAATAAATCTTAATTATGTTTCTTTACGCTTTTCTCTGATTCATATGGAATGTTTTTTTCTGAAAGTATAGGAAAGCGAAACCAATTCTAAAATGTCTGAACGATTTTGCGGAAAACTGCCCTACTACATCATTGAACCATATTATGCAGTTTTTCAAAGATCAGTATGCCACAATATCTAAAATTTGCGACAAGAATGATGACCTTAGAAAGAGTAAGTTTGATTTCCATTTGTCAATATTACATACGTTTCATGTATGTACATTCACAATAAGCATACTGCTCTATTTATAATATTATTATAATATTATATATTCTAAAATTTACTATTTATAATATTACTATATCTATAAATTACTATTTAATATTACTAATTCTATATTTACTATAATATTACTATATTCTATAAATTAATTTTGCTTTTTGATATATTATTTTTTATTGTCATAAAAAATCAGTTTTTACTTACTATGTAAAATTTCTTTTCTTCGCTCTGTTGCGCACTGAATTTCTCATGACATCTATCATCAAAATTTGTGGTTGTTAGTGCGCTTACATGTTAACTATCCTACAACAGATGCTTTCTTAATTTCGTCATCAGCTTACCACAAATGTGAGTTAAATATCTGCATTAGAATACATTGTTTTCCATCTTTTCTGTGTATCTTGCTGGCTGTTATTTGCAATTTAGCATTGAGGCCGCTGTGCCAAAAATACAATTAACAAGCGAATAAACACTTAATTTCAAGCAAACGAATCTAAGTAAATAGATAAGTTTTAAATCAAAATCTTCAGAATTTAATTTATCTGGGGCTTCCAAGTCATAATAATAGCCAAAGATTTATTGCAACTATTAAGTTGGTAACGGTATGCTCATGTTCATATTAATTATTTCCAGAACATACTAAGCTTAATCCGGCCCACCAGCGGCCGAGCGGCAACGTCGCTGAACACTGGTAGTTCGGTCCGAGGTTCGAATCCCACGAACGAATCCACATTTCCCCATGTGTAACGTGTATACGAGCCAGTTTTCCTTAGAAAGTCCTCTACGAAGGCATCCCTTCCTTAAGGCAGATAGCCCTCGAGTGCTTTGCCGTAATCTAATAAAACCAAACCATACCATTAAATTTAATCAAATATTAAGGGGACGCTTTATTTGGTTCTTGTAGAAAAATAGGCTCTATTAAGCACATTTGATTTAAAATCAACATTTCCCCTGTCAATAAAAAGTTGTTAATGGCAGGTTGTTTATTTAAAATTTTTTTTTCAATGAGTTCTGAAACACTGAACATTTCTATACTTGAAAATGTAATCTTGCATGCTGTTTATAACTCTTGTCTTTTGATTTATATTTCAGGGTACTTAGCAAATGCCAAATGTTTAAATAAACACAGAGGAAAGACGGAAAGTAAATGTGGAGTTTTATTAGAGTTTGATGAAGCGGAAAGACTTACAAAGGAGCATTGTGTGTACGTATAATAACATTAACATTTTTCATTACGTTATTAAGCATATTATGATGCATGAGTAATTGCTAATCAACTTGCATTCCAGTTGGACAAAGTTCTTGAAGTAATTCCAAGAATATTTATGTGAATTTCTACGAAAGTAAAATACTTTTATCATCATACTACGCTACTATAGTAACTTTTTACTTAATTAAAAAAAGGAATGTGTACTAAATGTTTTACAAGCGCAAACGATTGGAAGGAAATAATCCAATTTTAGAATTAATGATGATATGATTTGATAGGCAGAAAAACAAAGCTATGATCAACAGAATCTACATGTCTCACAAACTGTAAGGTAACAAACACATCTGATACGTAAATAAAAGATAAACTTTATGATTTAAAAGATCGCGATGGAAAGAGTAAACAATAATTTCAAGTTATCTAATAGAAAGTATTCTACCAAAGGCAGACTATTCAAGCCAGGCAAATATATGTATTGTGGGAAACAGAAAATACATATAGAAATATTACTAAGCTCAAGTGTGATAATAATTAAGCACATGTAAAATTTATGTTAAAATTTTTACAAATGTTATATAGAAGAAAGTTTCGGAACCAAGGTTAAATAGTTTTACTTCTAGGTACCAGGTTATATCTGAAATTCCTATATTGTTAAATGTTAAATATGAAACTACTTGCCGTTAAAGGTAGTGACCGTATAGTGAAACGTGTACAGCATTTTTGCGTTGTGAAAAAAATGCATTCCGGGACCGCGCCGTGAGAGGATCGAAAACATAAAAACATATACAAGATATAAAGGAAAAGTTCATATTAAATATATAAAGAAAACATACTGTAGAGAGGTTTCCAGATTAAATATCAGTTTATTCATTACAACACAATAAGAAAAATCTTAACCTCATCTGAGAGTCTGTTCATTTAAATTCATAAAAAAGCTTAAGGTTTGTTCTGGTGATTTAAAAGAAAGGAAAGGGAAACAATTTAAGGCCTGAGAGTTAAATTTTAGATTCGACGTTGTTTTTTTTTTTGCTAAGGACGTTTTGAAAAAACTTGCCTATGGTTCAAAACACCCAAAAAAATACAACTTATCTGAAGGGACATCTTGAATCGGAGGACTCTTATCTTATCAAGAGTTGATGTCGGCCGGGCCCCATCTTGACACAGGTTCTAAAAATGTAAACTCCACTTCACTACTGTAGAACAGAAACAGGAGCACTGCTGCCCAGGACGGCTATCCGCTTGGTCCTGAAAGTCCTATGTCCACACGCAGGTAACTCGTTTTTTTTTCGAAATTTCTTGCAGATCCCAAACTTTAGATTTCAGTCAGAAAATTAATATAAATTGCAACTGTTTTTGTCTTATTATTATCACCACTTACGCTTTTCGTAAGTATTTAGAAAATAAAATTTCAAAATTAGATAAGAAAATTGTTTTTTTTAAAAACTTCGGTTTAAAAGAAAAAATTCTGTCCGTCAGATGCTTTTCGCATCGTGCAGTCGGTCCGCATGCAAATTTAGTTTGAGACCACTGATCTAAATCTGAGCAAACTGAAATTATTCCTGATATATTGTGTAGAAATTCTGCACTTAAAAAACATGTATGATGCAATCTTGTAAATATTACTTTAATAATGCACATTTTAAAAAGTGAATAACGAGCACTAACGAAAACCGTGTTAATAATTTTTGGTACATTTTTGTGAAACAAAACCTAGAAAATCTTCGCTATTAAACTAAAAGACGTGTTTATGCAACTAATGTTTTGTGGCATGAACGAAAGAAAACATATACGTAGAAGACAAAAGTATTTCCAGGCAAATGCGTGAACTCTGGATTATTTGTTGAAGGAAAATTTCAAATGGAATTATCTTGAAAATTTACTAGTCTTTCTCTAGCTGCTGCCATCTATCGGCTGTGATCGAAAATACAATTAAGGTTACCAATTTTTCTTTGAATTTCATGGTTATCACTCATTTTACGTTGTTGGTGATAATTTCTGAAACGTGAAAATTTAGTTTAATTGCAATGTATGGAAAATGCAGTGCAAAGCTGCAATTTATGTATAGGTTTCCCAGGTAATGGTTTTCAGGTGTTCTTGGACATTCACTTCGATCTTTGTTTAGGTGAAGTTCTGAACATTTCCAATGTTAACAATGCGTGAACTTATTCCTTAAACAGTTATACAAGTATTATAGCTACTTCGGATATTATTGTCTCAATTTACCAATGAGATATACATGTTTAATTAATAGAGTGCATTATAATTTGATACAATAATTTGCAGTCTTTCGTATTATGGATGTATGCTTAGTATAACAAAATGCAAATTCATTTAATTAAAATTTAATTCTCTCCGCTATTATTTACCGCTAAAATGAGCTTTAAAATAAAGTTTTATAAACAGCAGTAGAAAATATTTCAATTAATGTAATCAGTTTATTAATAAGTATTATATTTTGAAACGATTAAAAAAATATACTTAATGGAATTAGTAAAATAAACAGAGCTCTAAAACGTTACAATTTTAAATTTATAAAGAACAATGCAAAATATCAAACAACTTCTTATTATATTTCTTAAAAAGCAAGAATTGAATTCATTAATACACAAGACAAGAAAATAATAAAAGCCGAGGAAAAATACAGGAGCTTAACATATCAAAGCATAACTGAAAATAATAATCAAAACAAATGAAAATTAATAAGTATCATTCATTCTTAACATATCTTTAGGGTGTTCATACCATGAAAAACCTATATAGCCATGAGGCAATGTAATAATATAGTCCTGTTTCTGAATTACTTAAGAAAAATCTCATTATGTGCTAATTTAAATATAGGTGTGGTGTGGTGTATTTAATTATGGCAAAGCACACTAGGGCTATCTGCCTAAGGGGAGGGATGCCTTTCGAGGAGGACTTTCTAAGGGAAGCTGTCTCATATACGCGTTGCACATGGGGAAAACCACGAAAACGCCCATGCAGCCAGCCCGTTCGCGGGATTCGAACCTCGGACCGAACTACCAGTGTTTAGCGTCTTTACCGCTCGGCCGCTGGTGGGCCCACTAATTTAAATAAAAATTAGTTAATTGTTCATTAGGCGATCTCACCTTTACATAGCTAAATAAATAAGCACTTGGGCCAGATCTGTCCAAATATGTCCAGTAAGAAAATAAAACAAGTTCAAAGAAATAAGACATGAACTCGAATAAAAGGAAATATCACAATAAAGAAATAAATAATTAAAAATAAAATTAAAAGCAGAAGACCAGAGAGCAAAATACTGGAAAAATTAAGTATAATATTCAGTTTAAAACAGTGACATTTTGAAAATTGTAATAATCACAGAAATCGTCCTAATTGCAATTAATTAAAGTAATACAAACCAAAAGTAAATATATTTGTTAAAAACTGCTAAAGAAAAATATATCGAAGCACTTGGTACACTATCAAACAAATAAAGAATTGACATATTAAAAGAAATTTCAAATAATTAAAATTCAGAAGTAAAATATTAATTTACGCATCAATGTAAGTGTAAATTGCGTGAATTTTTATTTAAAAATGGAATAAGTAATAATTTACTTAACTTATCCTGCTGACAAGTTTCACGTGAAACCATTTAAAAAAATCTGATGTGTACACCACATGATTTCCTTGCACGGAATATTAAATTATACGCATTTTTCTTGCATTTCATTTAAACTTATCGGATTGAATTAAATCTACTTCGCCGACAGCGCATAAACCCCAATAGAATAAATGCATTCTTTAAAATTCACTCTATTTGTGTACCATAGCGACACTCTGCCGCTAGGTTCACTTAGCAGTATTATATTTCGTTCATATTATAACTCAGAATGCACAAAATTTATATCATTTAAAGAATTATCTAATCGTTGCCGCATATTCTATTCAAATACTATAATAGAGCTAGAACGTTGTATAAAAGAAATTAAGCAAACAAAGCAAAAAAGAAAAGTTTTTCACAGACGATTGAGTATTTCTCATTCAATTAATTCAGTTCTCACTTCACGACAAGGCAAAAATACATAAAAACTAAAAATATCTGTATTAAAAATTACGAAGTAAATTTTAAACACTTATTTCCGCGAAAAAATTCCAGAAAGGTTTAAGCATGATTTAATTCGCAATAATAAATGAAGGCGTTATCGTTGTTGTTGCGAAGCTAAGTTTCTCTAGAGTGGCAACAAGTCCATTATCCTGCTGTTTCAAATGTAAACAAGCAATGGCCGCCATCAAAAAAATTATTAGGCTTAGCGGCACTTAAACAACTTTAAAATTGTTGATAATTCTAAAAATATTGCATACAGATTTACTAAAGGCATAAAAACTTTAACCGGAAGATAAGAACAACATAATACAATCATTATTAAAGCAAAAAATGTACAATTTACAAACATATAACAGTAAAGAAACTGAGATCACTGAGCCGGGTAACAGAGTGGATATATATATATAAATATATTTATATACGTTTGGTGCGGCCGATTGCAACCAAAATACGATGTGCACATCTACATGTTATAGCAGTCCTATATACAAAATTTCAACATTCTGAGGGTACTAGTTTTTGAGTTATGCGAGATGCGTACGTACATACGTTCGTACACACGGCACGAAAAATTCTCTTCAGAGTTCATTTTAAAGCAATTTTATAATTTTTTTTTGGATGAAAAGGGTATTTTAATTTATTCTGTTTATTTATTTTTTATTCTGTCCTTACGTACAGATATCACGCAAAAACATCGTTAAATTGCATTCGATAACGGTCAAAATGGATATTTTCGTTGAAATATGCTGCCTGAAACTTTTCTCAATTACAGTACTTCTTTTTTACTTCGTACAAGGAAGTAAAAATTGTAGAAATGTGCATTTTAATTTACAATCAATTGAATTTTTGGCTTTATTCAACTACTCGTTTTAAAATTCAGAAAAATGTCTATCATGTAAGATTACAAAATGACATCAACTTTTTAAAGAGATATTTTGATATATTTATATTTTGTTTTCAGTTTTGATTTTTTAAATACTCTTTTCTCTTTCCCTATTTTGCTGTTTTTCTTTTTTTATTTAATGCTTTAAGGGGGCTCATACACCTCAATCCCCTTATGATCTTCGAATATGTGACTGTTGCATGAACTGGGATAACTTATTTATTTTAAAAGCAGTTACTTTCAACTTTTTACAGCTGACTATATAATATAGCTGCTTTGGGACTAGTAACCAGAAAGTTTACGTTGCTAAAAATATTTCTGTAATTTAATTCGCTTTGTGACAAAAGTTTTCGTCATGTTTCCACCTTGCGCGCGTGATGTTTTAAAAATGGCTAACGGTACATAGTTGAAATTTGATGCAATTCTTTATCTTATAACTGAACCAAAAATATGATGAATATTTTAATATTAAAAAATTTTATGCACGAAGACATTACAGATTTTTTAATAAAATACCTTTTATAAACTCATTTCCAAATAAAATAAAATTTTAACATGAAATTCTTATAATTTTTAGTTTACAGTAGTTTCCAAATGTTATGAAAACTACATATTAAATATGGAATTAAATTATGCAACAGAATGTTTTAAACTGTGAGCGCAAGTGGAAACTTGGCGAAACATTTTGTCACAAAGCGGATTAAACTATACAAATATTTTTGGCAACACAAACTTCCTGATTACTATTTCAGAAAGCAGCTGTATTCTGCAGTCACCTGTAAAAAGTTGGAAGTGATTGCTTTTAAAATAACTAAGTTATCCCAATTCATGAAACAGTCACATATTCGAAGATCTTATGGGTTTTAAGGTGTATGGGTCCCCAAGGCAGATCCAGTAAGGTTTCAATTTTTTTTTCTTTATGATAAGTATTATATTGATAAAGTAATGCATTTTAAATATGCGTTCAAAAAAGAGAAACAAACACATTTTTAGAAAATTTGAAAGGATTCAGATATTAATGTCGCACCGTACAGTTTAAGGTTTTTCATGTGGTCGTTGCAGTCGCAGGTTATCAATCTGCTTTTATACTGATAAAGCGGCATTTTTTGTCTTTTAACTTTATTATTAAACATCACTTTTTCGCACTTACACATAGAGTTGAACAGTTAACTTACACAAGTTTTAAAATAAACATAGGTTTAGACTTCCAGATAGAGTATTGAGTTTTACCATACATTTTTCTGTTTCTTCACTCTTTTCTCAGTTTATCACCTCAATGTACACTTTTTTTGGCAAGATTACCCACGCAATTTTCTTGTCTTTTTACCTTTATTATAAAACATCACTTACTTCACACTTGGTGGAAGCATGCTTTTAGTGATACGGACAAAAATGAAAATCGTGAGTAATAGTACCAACTAAACAATTAATTCTTTAAACAAAGATATAATTGTCACATTTTTATTTAACTTCTGAAGCTATATTAACATATAACAATTGACAAAATTTATTTATATTTTCAATAACATTGTTCTGAAGAAGGAATTCTGCGATACACTTTCCTAATCTAGGTCTAGATTTCCCTAATCTAGGTCCTAATCTAGATTTCCTAATCTAGATTTCCCTAATCTAGGTCTGCTTATCTTATGTGAATTTGAAAAGAATCCGCCTGAATATTTTAAGTGTTCGGAACTATTTCTAATTTAGAATGATGTTTTGCAAAATGTGACTGCGGATATTTAAAAAAAAATTACTTTCCTGTCATTAAACCAAACAAAGATTGGATATTTCTGGTTATTTTATAGTTTTACATTTCAGTTTAGTTTACATACCTTTCGAGAACTTTAATGTTTCATAAAAAATATATTTAACACCGTTAAGAAAACTGAAGTAGTTTTAAATTATAGTGATAATCTTTTATATGCGTTATAATATTTACACATGGATATCTTAGATTTGTTTCTGCTTTTGAAATTGTATGAAATTAAGGAATATATATTTTTTAGATCTCAAGAAAGAACTTTCAAATGCACGTTTGAAGAAAGCCAAACAACTTGCGGTAAACAAGCTTTCTCTTTGTTAAACGAAATCTTGTCACCAGTTACGAAGCTATTGAAAACGATCTGCAGTGATTTCCAGTTCTTACACTTAAATATGTTACCGCAGTTCCAAAGTATGTCTTTTGCTCTATATTAAGGAGAAGCAAACATCCCATAATTGAATAAAAGCATAACATTTCCTAATTTTGTTTCTATTGTTTTTGTGTTTTTCCTTTTTCTGATAATTAAAAAAAATCTGAATTCTTTTCCTTACTAATTTATTATTCTCTTAAACTAGGAACTTTCATGATTCTTTCGTAATTCTGCGTATGATACAAAGGTAAATGGGAAGGCGTACGCATGATTTTAAATTGAAGATGTGATGCCCAAAATTATTAGTTTGAAATTGATCAATATTATTGATCAATTTTATATTATTGATATTTGAAATTGACCAAAATTAAAATAATGGTACTGAACAGCACCAATAATAATGTATTCTAAAGCCGTCATCTCTACAGGAAGACCCAACTAGTAAATCTGTAACAAGGTATGGTCGTTTTAGGAATATTTCATTAGAAATGCTTTATGTAGCTATCAGGCATTGAAATTTCATTTGAAATGATATTCTTCAGGACGTGTATTTTAATAACAATCAAGGTAAAACGTTTCCTCCGAGCTTTAAACATCATTTTTGAATTCAAATTTTGTATCCATAAACACATTAAATTTAAAAGTGTTATTTTTGACATATTACTGAAACATGCATATTTTGCTACACGTTAGCGTGCTTTTAATTTCTAAATAGTAAGTTCTTCTTAGCATGGCCACCTAAACGATTTTGTATGATTCTGGACTAAATGATTTTTGTTTCCTCTGAAGCAAGTTATCACAGATAACATAATCACAGATGTTTTTCAATGATGGTAACTAACGTAAATAATCATATTCTTAAAAATACAGGATATTTTCATATTATATTTTAATATCCTAGAATTCTATGATTCACTGATTATTTCAGACCTACGCAATCTAAAGTAATCAGCACATTTTTCAAGATTTAGTTGCACCACAAAGTTTTATAAAAACGCCACTTTGCGATTCAGCAAGTGGATAAGTCAACTTTAAACAGATGTTTTGTAATTATATTTAAAATATTTTCTCTTCACATTTTAATTACATTAGCATGATGACTAAATTCTATATGTAATGGGTAGCAGCAGTGCATCAATTGGCTCAAAGTATAGTATATATATAATGCAGAGATCTAAGACTATGCAAAAAGTGAACAACACTGACGGACAAAAAATCGAAAAAGTTCAAAGGAGTTTTATAGTAAAAGCTACTTTTACTGCTGCCTGCAGCTTCGGAATCATTGCTAGTCGCACGCGACTTATAACCATGTTCCGGATAAAGTTCCATACAATTTCAAACAGATTTGAGACCAGGATCCATAAGGGACAATCCATGAGGCATTATTTCTGCCATGCAATCAGAAAAAACACGCATGATAAAGGAAAATCTTACTATAATAGCGATAACCAGTGATTGATCTTCCTTTGGAAAATACGGAGCTTCATACATACACTCCCCACTACTCCCAGAAGTAGAATAAAGCCACCTATAAAAGCGTGTTAGCGATAATGTTAAGAGGGTGACTGCATGTTTTTTCAGAACTTTGGTGCCTATAATTGATAAATTAAGCTTCCCCATGCTTTTATTACTAGAATCGGCTAAAAGGCCATTTTTCATGGACAGCCGTCAAAAGCTCCCGCGAGGGCCGCTGCAAGAACGTATTATGTGTGCCCATGCCAGTGACTAGGCAGCGATGTTCACGCTAAAACAAGATAGCAAAAGTCTACTAGTGCTTTGCATGTGTTTTGATAATCATAAATTTGCGTTGAGCTCTTCTCGTCTAAGGACAAGATACCGATCGATTATCACATTGCTTGCCCATGAAAGACCGTTAAACTTACCAATAACGATTCTTCTCTCTAAATAACGTCGACGTTTGTTTCATGATGTTGCGTTGGATCGCGATATCCTGCAATATGATAGACGATCTTTGAACTTCATCTAATGTCCCAATGATTAGAACTGAAATAAAGATTTCGAACATGCTTTTTGCAGTAATGTTGGTAGGATATATCCCATTGCAATGCAGTGATCTTGGCAAATCATCGATATTCAGATCGATGTGAATGCGTAGTAATTGCAAATGACTGCACCACCCTCGTTCTTAAATATTCTTGCCTCACAGCCACAGTATGTCACACTGCATATATGCACATGCGTTGGAGTATTGGATTCTATACAATCTCCTGGTGGTTTTGTGATCTGTTTCGCCTGTTCATTACGCTGTCACACTCATTTCTAGACTTCATCATTAATTTGAGCACGCCATTGTACAAGGAAGTAATGAAGAAAATCTGATAGGATTAGGCACGCAAATTTAAAAGGGATATGAAATAGTGGAATGGGCATTTGTGGTTTTATGTCCGACTACGTTAGGAAGCTGAATATCGTATAAAAATTTGCTTTGTACATTTTTTAGGTAGTTGAAGACTTGACTTTTTAAATTTGTCTACGCATAATTCTGTAATATATAAAAGGAAATTAAAACTCGTAACATGAGATAGTAATTCGTAAAACAATTAGAAATCTTTATTTTGATATAAATGTTTATAGCTTTTTAAATAATTTATGCTATAGCTTCTATTATAAAAGATATTTTTCAAAACACTGTTCACAGTTACAACAGAGTAGCTATTTTCAGTACTTCCAATAATTTATAGTAATTTATTGATGTAACTAAACAAAAATCCCATTATTTAATCAGAAACTGTCTGCTATCAAGCGGTTACCTAGCAACGTTTTACAGTTTCAAACTTTTAAGGTATATGACTAAACAAGTTTGAAAATGTTGTTGAAATATTAAGCTGACAATCATTACTTAAAAGATGTTTGAGGGACCTCGACCTCGATAGAAGTATTTACTGAAAATTTTATACATATCACACAAGAACATATGTTAACATTTTAATGAAAAAGTTAAGAAATGTTTATTTCATCAACAATTATTATACCAACAACACTTCGTGATGCATACATGTATTTTTAACACTTTATCAAGCAAGGTTTTAAATCTCTTAACATGGAGCTCATTAAGGATTCTATCCAACACTCAATACCCATAGAAAAATAGGCAAGGAAGCACAAATAAATTTAAAAAAAAAAAAAAAAAAAACACTCCAATTTATGGATTTCAGATCACATTTTAACATCTCAATAAAAACGTAACTATTGAAATATTTTTTTTGAATTAAACAAATATATTAAAGTATAAAAAAAGCATAAACATCGCATGAATAATAAGAATGATTCCATACCTTGTACCTCAACATTACGGCTCCAGAAACTTCTTTTATTAATTACACCAAAACTGCAAATGTTCAAAATATTTATCAAAGTGATAAAAATTAAAACTTCATAAATTATTTAAAAAAGAAAAGTTTAAATTTTAAAGAAATATAATTACCTTTTATAATAGCTCAATTTATTATTCAATAAGTGATTGATTAGATCTGAAAGATAAATTAAAAAGCTTAAGCTTCTCGCACTGAATATATATTACAGCAAAACCGTTTTTGTGCCTTCATTTCTTATGCGATTTTTCTGTGCGATTTTTTTGTATTGTATATAATTTCCAACAGTGTTGGCATTATTTATAAGACTGCTGAATTATAACATTGTTGGCATTGTAACATTATTTTTACACTGTAAGGCTATACACTATATACACACCATGTAAGGTGCACACTATGTATACACTGTAAGGTTCTATTTGCCTTGCTCATTTGTTATCAACTGTTACAATATAGTCCAACGACTACGTCCACCCAGAAGTTGAAAAATATATGACAGCGATTGGTCTTCATTTTAAGGGGGGTGTATACCTTAGAAAACGAGGGTTTGGTCAGAAAACTCCTTTTTCTCTTACGCGCGATGAAAGTCTTTTTTCTTATGTTTCCAAAACTGTTTGAAATTTGTTCCGTTTACGTTGATTTAAGCCGAAGTTATGATACTTTATTCGACACCTTGTCCTCGAAAAGCATACCAGAAGTGCACAAGACGTAAATATTTAAAAGGACGAAGTGAGTGTGTCAGAGTTGTTTACTTTTATTTTAGGGGCTTAAAACTTTATCTAATTGCATTTTAAGAACTAAAAAGTATTTTTATGATGGCAACAAAACAAAGTTCTAGCATATTTTCAAGCCGTGTGTTATGAATTCACTAACACATTTTCGCTCGTTTTTTATTCTGTGTTTACATTGCTGATAAGCGCTTTATTTATTTCTCACAGAGTAATATTCATTAATTTTATAGGTATAGATAGATATTAATATAGATTAGGTGTAGATATTGGTTACTACACTGCAAACGAGTATGAAAGGTTTGTTGTTAACCGTATCGACAATACCAAACGACATTCCCTGATTTGGCTTTAAAAAGAAGAAAAAATGTTTAAATGCTGCTAGAAAGCAAAAAATTTTAAATTCTAAAAAATAAGAGGGCATTAGTTATAAATCAGCGAATTTTAAATTTACAAACTGAGGTAATCGTGTGTTTGAATTTTTAAAGTCATTTATCTTATTTTTCATTTTTCGTCTTTTAAAGGTAACATGAAACACAATGTCTCTGCAAATTATGATTGAAATTTTATGCAAATTGGTATACATGTTTAGAACACTTCATGTAAGGAGATATACAGTTTACTAATTATTAAATGCCTTTTTTATACATTATGTGTTAAACATGAATTTTAATGAGAAAATATGCTTTTTCTTTGGTTATATTATACATTCTAGCTTAAAAAAATTTTAAATAACTTCCTAGCTTTAAAATAATAGTTTACCTCCTTGAGAATATCATTATGATGGGTCTGCATTTTACAAAATATGAAAATATATTATACTTTTTTTAACAGAGTATTTCTAATTTTTTTTTTAAATATTGCTGTTTTTTTGCTTGTTTTCTTACTTTACTCCAAAAATACAAAATTAATGGTCATTAAATAGCACAGCTTCTTCATGTTTTTCATCATTAATTACTTTAAAGCCAAAATTATATGCACAAATTTAAAAATTAAAAAAAAAAGTGTTCGAAGGTATACAGCCCCCTTAAAGTGTTGCTAAAATTGTTTA